TAAAAAATTTCATATTATGTTTGGTTGTAACGTGTTATTGTAGTCGTACTACATCTACTTTTATTGATGTAATTTCTCATTATATTTCTTGTTTCACTATATCAAAACATTTACAACTGATTTGCTTGTCTCACTATATCATGCCAAATTGTTAGATAAGTGAGAAATCATATATTTGATTTATGAGCATTTTCTTATTGGGTAAATCGAAAATCGAACCGTTAATGGAAAAAAAAACCAATAAAGAATATCTTATTGGTTTAGCATATTTAAAAACTGAAAATCGATAAACTGAACCGATAATACATAAAATCAATCTGAACCGACCGATGCACACCCCTACAAATATGTCATCAAACTTTGAGAAAAGGTTATCTATGTCATCCAATAAAAGTTTGACTAATTTATACCATCTTCATTTGAGAAAAGACTCACAATTTCGATTTTGCAAAACCAGAATTGAGTCTTTCTCAAACAAAAATAGCATAGATGAACCAAACTTCAATTAGATGGCATAAATGAACCTTTTCTCAAAATTTCATGGCATATTTGAGGCTTTTCCCCTAAAAAAAGAAGAAGCAATTTGGTCTAAATTCTTATTGTACACAATCATAGACTATCAACGCTATTTTTATTGAAGCTTGAACTCATAACCTCTCATCCATTATCGCATTGTCTTTACCATTTTTCATTGACCAAGCTTACACAAATTATCAAGAACTATATATAGTTAAAATGTCCGAAGGAATGCCTTTCAACTTCATCTCATTTAAGGTTTATAACAGTATCTAAGTATCTATCTTTGCAACGGGCATCTATGACGATGTTATAGTTGACTATGTTGTTTGATTGACTTGAATGTTTTGGAAAATGTTTTCTAAATTAACTCATTTTCTTCAAATTTAAGGAAAATGACTTGCTTTAAAAAATGAAGGAAAACATTTTTCAAAACTCTACTTGATCCTTCAACATTTTTTCGTACCCTACTCCATACCCCGGACCCGACCCCCATAAAAAAATTAAAATTTTTAAATCTTCTTATTTCTTAATTATCAAGTCTATTTTTACTCCTACCCTCAAACCACCCCCCCCCCCCCCCTCCCCCAAAAATAAATAAAAATTATTTTAAAAAATATTTCAAATTTAAGATTTTTTTTACCTAACCCAACCCCTGTCCCCACTCCCATAAAGATATTGTTTTGGAAAATATTTGAATTAAAGAATAGTGCTCATTAGATGAAATGGATAGAAGTAAGTTAAATTTCAGTATGAACCAATTTTCAAAGAAAAATATAAATGGAAAAGGCTCAAAAATGCCCCTAACCTATATTAGAAATGGTTCAGAAATGCCCTCCTTTCATCTATTGGTTTAAAAATACCCTTAACGTTTTTTTGGGCTCAAAAATGCCCTTTAATTAACAGAAATCTGATGTGGAATTTAACTGAACAAGTGGCCAAATTTCATTGGTCCATCTGATTTTTTTTATCAAATAAAATAAACCCCACCCAGCCCAAACCGTTTCACTGTCAATTTAATTTTTTTTCTCTGCTTTTCATCCTCTTCTTTCTTTCTTTAAGAAAGAAAACTTCCAATCCAAAACCCAGTGTGTTTGTAAAATCTTGTTATTTAAAAAACCAGACATACAAATTAAACAAGATGAAAACAAGCAATTAAAATATTTTCATACGATTATATAAACCCATATGTATGAGGTTTGAACTAATCCTAAATTTATAAAAAAATCTATCTTTAATCCTTTTCAAAAGTGATTCAGTGGAGATGATGAACAAACATTGGTAGAAGAAGGGTTGTAAATTGTCACGCAAGAAATCTATATTTACTCCTACCCCAAACCATCTACCCTCCCCAAAAAATAAAAAAAATTATTTTTAAAAAATATTTCAAATTTAAGATTTTTTTATCTAACCCAACCCCCATCACCCCTATCCCCCACCCCCATAAAAAAATATTGTTTTGAAAAAATATTTCAATTTTTTAAAATTTCAGTTTTTACTTCACCTCATACCCTGACCCCCACCCCACCCCCGGTCAATTATTATTATTTTTTTAAAAAAATTATTTCTGAAAAATATTTTAAATTTATGTTTTTTCGTCATCCCCCATCACCCCCAACCCAGGGCACTCCCATCAAAAAAAAAAATTAAATATGGAAAAAAATTTTAAAAATTTATTCAACAACCAAACATTAAAAAATATTTTCTACTCACCAACCAAACATAAAAAAATAAGTTAGAAATCCACTTGTTTTCCGAAAAAATATTTTCTTGGATAACACCTTCCTTCATACCAAACACACCCTAAACGAATGTCATACTTTAACAAGTAAATGTTGCTAACAGGACATGCCTTCAATGAAAAATTCAGACAATTTTGGGTGCTAGCTATCTATGTATTTGGTCAATTAAAGAATAGTGCTCATTAGATGAAATGAATACAAAGTAAGTTAAATTTCAGTATGAACCAATTTTCAAAGAAAAATATAAATGATACAAACTACATCAGTCCCTGTAACCGCCAGGAATTTCATACCATTGGTAGAAGAAGGGTTGTAAATTGTCACCCATTTTAGATAAAAACTTGAAAAATCATGCCAAATAGTCACATATCTTGTAGAAAAAGAAGTTCAAACTAGAGTTTATGTTCAACCTGTTTCGAATACAGAGACGAGAGATTGAGGAAGGAGTATAAAAGGGGAAAATAGCTGCAAAACAGTCAATTCTCAACTGCTAAACTGACCACCGAACCAGTAAATATTTAGTAGCAGAAATCAGTCAGTAATTCAGGAACGGTATCCTAAGAATGAGATACAGATTCAATCTTATGGATGCAATGAAGAACAGGAAAGATGAGATATACAGCTGAGTTGAAGTAGTTTCATAAAAGGCAAAAGAGGGAGCGAAGCAGATATATCGTTGTTAGCACTTTTGTACTTGTGAATCACTAAAGTCTGGCGGATATCTGATTCCATCCTCAAAGGATTTCTGCTCTTTGCAGATATTATCCTTGTTAGCACTTTTGTACTTGTGAATCAATAAATCCCCTTGAAGTATAAATGCAGCAAGTCGTAAGAAGACAATTGTTGCCAAATATTATAATGGTAAAAGAGTGAAGTATTCAAACTACATAAGACTAGTTATTCTTCAAACTAGATGATCATTCATTTTCATGATTGATCAAGAGGTTGCACAATCAAGTAACGGTTGCTCTTATGCCATTTGGTAATAAACAATGTACTTCTTTAGGCAAATACTAAAAACTGTTATACTAAAAAAGGGCTTTGAAATAGAAGAACGATCCCTCTTCCTGTAGAAAATAAACAAAAATAAAGTACTAAAAAAATCCCAAGTTCAACAGATGATTAGTTTTCTCACACTCAAAGACGCAAAAGAGAATAAGCATTGATAGGCACTGTACAAGTTTTTCGGTTCGTTTGCAGTAGATTATTAAGTAAAATATTGATTCTCTAGTTTGAGCAGTGTCACAACCTATTCAGTCTATTCCGATAAATTGCACATTTAGCACTTCTTTTTATTGAATAAGAAGTTACAGCTTAGGTGATATACCAGGACCAGCTAAATAGAACTTACTGATCAATTCCCGAATCAAGTGAACGACTTGCTGTGAGACAATTTAAAGTACCATGGAGCATAGAATTCAACCAAGATATCCTGTCTCATCTAGCACAATTTCGTCAAAGTTATTTGGATATAGTAGCAAAACACTTGAGAGGATTGAGGAAATCTCGATATTAATCCCTAAAAATAAAAGAACAAGAATGTCAGAATTGCGTATTTGATATCATCCAGTAAGTCTGCATATAATTCAGTTCACCACAAATTTATCCATACTTATTGCTTCTCATAGTTGGCAGACAAATTTGAGAAAAGATGAAACAAAGCATTCTTATAAATAAAACACAAGTTAAGTAGGATCGACGAACCCAGTAATACACTTTAACTTCAAAATTAAGGTCACTTAAACTTAGCACAAGTGTAAATGAGATGATTTAAAATGTTAGTTATTTAACGTCGACGGTAAAGACAGGAAAAAACAGTTTTTTTTTTAGATACGGAAGTGTAAAGTATGTCTTCTTCAACTTAAATTGTAATAATAATGGAAGAAATGAAAATACATCCTAATATCACAACGTATACATTTGCATACCTTATAGTGAGTACAGAGCATAGCACAAACTTCCCTTCTACTGTGTCCATCCCAGTAATTACTTCACTAATTATAGTAAAGTTACCAGCAGTATAACACAGCATTGAAGCATGAAGTTATGGGTACAATAACAGATTGCAGATTTCTCCATCTTCAAAAGAAAACTGCTCCCTCCATCTTCTAAGTTAGTTGGAAATGGTGATATGGAGCACAACCCTATCTAAATTATGGTGACAAGTAGTCAAAGGCCCAATGAACTTATATTTGACAATTTTATTGCTCTATGAAAATGTAAATTCCCAATAAAGCATCCAGTACTCTTGGATCATGTATAAACCTTCACAAATATGCATTCAAAAATATTCTCAAAATAAATAAAATGTATTCTAAATAACTAGAACATTGTATTGACCGTTCATCTGTAGTATATCCTATAAGTTTTGAATAAGATTGTTTCCCTCTTTTGTAATACTTTTTGGAGGTGGCCAGCATGCCCTTAATGCTGAGAAATTCAACAGTACTAATTTCCAACAAAAAAAAAGAAGAAGATGGTTCCCAAAACATTTTAAGTTACGTGCAGTTGTTATTGATTCACAAAAAGATGGAAAATCATAGTACATGAAGACAAACTATATAGCACAGAAAATGATACTCCTAGAGACTTATAACGTGTACACATAAGGGAACTCACATTATCACTCAAAAGTGGAAAAAGAATTGCAATATCAAAAGTGATGTACCTCCTCCGTAAGCCGTAAGCATGCCTGGAAAGCTCAAGTGATGTTCTAATTGCCATTATTCTATCTTTCGTAATTGCATGGATGCCACTTCTCATTGTGAAAGTAAAGCCAAATAAAGCAAGAGAAAGAAATATTCACTTCTTATGTTCAGATCGAAACTCAGGTATCATGTCAAGGACAGAAGGATTCTCCCTTATAACGTTTACCAGTAACTCAGTTGTATCTGCATCGCATGAGAAGCCCTTTCTAACCATTTCCTTCATATAAGTTGCCATTTCATTAACATTGTTTGGCATACAACCGTTGTCCTCCATTTTCTAAGCATATCTTTAGCTTCATTCAAAAACCCTTCGAGAATAAATCCATTTATCATTATAGTGTATGTTCTCACATTCGGAAGCATTCCAATTAAAGAAAGCTTCTCAAATATCACACGAGCTTTGTCGAGTTCACTATTTTTGCACAATCCATTAATGACAACATTGTAAAATTCAATACTAGTATATTCAATTTTTCTTTCCAACTTATTAAAGAACGACATAGCTTCTTCAACAAGTCCATATTTAAAATAACCATTGAGCAAAGTGCAGAGAGTATATAAATCAGGTACGAGCACTGTTGATAGCATCTCAGCAAAGATTTTTTTTGCAGAGTCAATTTTTCCAGCTTCAAACAGACCTTGCAAGAGGATATTGTAGGTAAAAATATCAGGTTTTGATCCATTTTGAGAAATTTCATGAAACAATTGCATGGCCTCGGCCAATGGCTTTTCTTTACAGTATCCATTTATCAGTACACTATAACTAATAATGTCAGGTTCAATTTTCTTATCTATCATGAAATCAAAATGATGCAAGAATGAAGTCGGAAGCTGGGTAAGCTAGTACTGAGTGCTTGAGGGGTTGCACCTAGCCGTTAAGTTGGTTAGGATTTCAATTGAGAAGAATAGTTCATATTGTCAGTTTAGTCCAATAGGTTTTAAAAGTCATTTTATGTTATTGTCAAAATTGCCCTTAATGTTTGAGTGATTGGACACTTTAGGTCCAATGCTGGGCAATTACTTTTCGTACTATCACCAAGGAGTGTCTTGGCTATTTAAGCATTGTAATAGTTCTTTTTGCAGCTATGAAAAGAATAGCTTGTCCTTTACTCTTTTTCCTTTTCTCTTTCTTTCCTTTTCTTAGTTCTTACTGTTATTTACTGTTTCATTACTCTTCTTTATCTTAGTTGCATCATTTGGTATCAGAGCACTTTCTTGAGCTCTGTGGATACACAAAAATGGCGAATGAGGTAAGGGATATCAAAGAGTTGCTTGACAGAATGACAGTGGAGTTAGCCAACTTCTCTGTCAGGCAGAACCAAATAGAGGAACAACATGAGAAGTCTTTTGTTGAGCTGAAGGAAGCCTTGGATGCTGTAAAGAAAAATGACAAGGGAAAGAACCATGAAAAGGCTGAGGGAGCTGGTGAGATCTACACTCCTTCTGGCCAACCCATGGCGTGGGTCTCAGCATCTCAAACAGGAGGAGCTCCAACCATGGTTACCCCTGGTGGTTATCAACTGGGAATGAGGCCTTTACCTCAGTTCCAGTCACCATTAGGGGGGTCTATGCATCATACTCCTGTTATGGGAGGTGGACCTGCAGGACACATGGGGGCTGGAAGCTCAACTCACTTTCAGATGCACACTGGAGGCCAAACACAGATGCCATATGGAGGGTTCCAAGGCCACCAACCATGGGAATCCCTGGAGGAGAAGGAGCTCAACCTCCTGCCCATGGTCACTTCTTCAACTCCATGTCCAGGTTGTCCAAAATAGAGTTTCCCAGGTTTAATGGAGTAGATCTCAGGTCGTGGATCTACAAGGTAGATCAGTTTTTTTCCTTGGATGAAATACCTCCACATCAAAAGGTGAGGGTGGCTTCCTTACACTTTGATGGTCTAGCCATAGAGTGGCACTTAGCATACATAAGGAGTAGGCAACACTTGCCTTATCCTACGTGGGATGAATACATGTTTGCTCTCATGGACAGATTTGGAACTGAGTTTGAAGATCCTATGGCTGAATTGAAGCTGGTCAAACAAACTGGATCAGTTAAAGACTATCAGAATGAGTTCAATAAGATCATGACCAGGCTTACAATCTTGCCAGAATATGCCATTAGTGGGTTCATTACTGGACTCAAGCCGGAGATAGGCTATACTGTCAAGAACCACAAACCATTTTCACTTCATCAAGCCTACCATCTAGCTAGAAACACTGAAGCTCAGGTTAATGCCCAGCTTAAGATAGCTAGACCATCCTCATTTGTTGGTGGTTCTCAATATAGAGGGAGTTCATACAACTCTTCTCTTAAGGGAACTGGTTCCAAAAGAGATTTTGGGCAGGGTAAGAGGGAAGTTTCTCTAAATCTTAACAGGAACACTAACAGAAGACTGACCTCTGCTGAGATGAATGAGAGGAGACAAAAGGGGTTGTGTTTTTTCTGTGAGGAGAAATTCTTCCCTGGGCACAAGTGTGGGGGGTCCAAATCTTTGTATTTGTTGGAAGTGGAGGAAGAAGAAGAAACTAGTGAAGAGGAAGTGGTGGATATACCTTCCCCTGAGCTAGGAAAAGAGGAAGAGCCAGGGGAGGTTTGTGAGATTTCAGTCTATGCTCTACATGGCATTCCGACTTTTCACACTCTAAGAGTGGAAGGGTATTGCCCACAGAGACCTTTGTACATGTTGATTGATCCAGGGAGTTCAAACAACTTTATGGATGAAGGACTTGCGAGGGAACTCCGAGGAAACATTCAAGCTGTCAGAACTCATGCTATCAATGTGGCTGATGGGCATGATAGGCAAACCAAAGAGCTGTGTAAAGCATTTTCATGGATGATGGAGAAACTGACTTACACAGATGATTTCTTACTGATACCTCTCAGATCTTGTGACATGATCTTAGGGGTACAATGGTTGCTTCCTTTGGGAGATATTAAGTTGAACTTTCAAGAGTTAACTTTAGGCTATACTTACCAAGGGCATGAATGTGTGTTGAAAGGTCATGTGGACAAGGTGAGAACTGTGGAAGCCAAAAGGTTGGAAAAAATGGCAAACGGGGGTGCCCAGTTGTTCATGATCAGAATAGTGCCATTGGAGGAAAAGGGGAACTTGGGAGTAACCACACCCAAGGAAATTGTGTTCCTTACTCGAGAGTATCCTCAGTTGTTTGCTGAGCCAAAGGGATTACCCCCTTCAAGAGGGCCATTTGATCACAAAATACCACTAGAGGTAGGAAGCAACCCTGTGAACTTGAGGCCATATAGATACTCATCTTTACAGAAGGATATAATTGAGAAGTTGATAAGAGACATGCTGGAGCAAGGCATTGTGCAGCCAAGCTGTAGTCCTTATGCTTCACCCATGGTTCTGGTTGGCAAAAAAGATGGGAGTTGGAGGTTATGTGTGGACTATAGGGGCCTCAACAAGGTGACAATTAAAGACAAATTTCCCATTCCCATCATAGAAGAGCTATTAGAGGAATTGGGAGGTTCAAAGATCTACTCTAAAATAGATCTTAGAGCAGGTTATCATCAGATCAGGATGGCCAATGAAGATATTGTCAAAGCTTTTAGAACACATGAAAGTCACTATGAGTATTTAGTGATGCCATTTGGGTTGTCCAATGCTCCATCATCTTTTCAAAGTCTAATGAATCATGTCTTCAGAGAGCATTTAAGAAAGTTCATATTGGTATTTTTTGATGACATTTTGGTGTTCAGTCAGAATTTATCTGAACACTTGGTTCATCTTAAAACAACATTTGACTTGCTAATGAAGCACAAGCTCTGTGTGAGACAAGCCAAGTGTTCATTTGGGGCTAGTAGAGTTGAATACTTAGGGCATGTGATATCTGCTGATGGGGTATCTACTGATCTTAAGAAAATTGTTGCAGTTAAGGAATGGCCTAAACCCAAGAATGTGAAGGAGTTAAGGGGGTTCTTGGGATTAGCAGGGTATTACAGGAGGTTCATTAAGCATTATGGGATAATCAGCAAGCCACTAACTGATTTATTAAAGAAGGATGGGTTTCAATGGTCTGAAATGGCCACTCACGCCATGGAGGAACTAAAGGAAGCATTGACTTCAGCTCCTGTCCTTGCCTTACCTAATAATTGTGTTGTTTTTGTTGTAGAAACAGATGCTTGTGACTATGGAATTAGAGCTGTCTTAATGCAAGAGGGCCACCCTATTGCTTACCTCAGCAAGGGTCTTTCCATGAGACATCAAGGGTTGTCTGTGTATGACAAAGAGCTATTGGCTCTAGTTCTAGCTGTTACTAAATGGGCTCAGTATTTGATGGGCAAGAAGTTCATTGTGAGGACTGATCAAAAGGCGCTGAAGTTTTTATTAGATCAAAAACTTCATATAGGTTCTCAAATGAAATGGATCGCCAAGCTAATGCAATTCCACTTTGAAATAGAGTACAAAAAAGGGAGGGAGAACAAGGCTGCAGATTCTTTGTCCAGAGTACCAACGGGAGTGGTAGCATCAATGATGTTAATTAATGGGGTCAGTGAGCTGTTCGAAAAGATCAAAAATAGCTGGGAGAGGGATCCTCTTACCAAAGCCATTCTGGCCAAGGTAGTATCACAGGAGGAAGGGCACAAGGAATTCACATTTGTGAATGAACAACTAGGGAGGAAGGGTAAGTTGGTAGTAGGGAATGAACCAACTTTGAAGAAGGAGATCCTCCTCATCTGGCATGAAACACCTGTGGGAGGGCACTCAGGAATTGAGAACACTTACAAAAGGATCTCAAACCTTTTTTACTGGAAGGGACTGAAGAAAGATGTAACTATGTTTGTGAGGCAGTGTGCAACCTGTCAGAGGAGCAAATATGATAGTGCTGCTTATCCAGGCCTTCTCCAACCACTACAAATACCATCTGTTGCTTGGGGTTGCATAAGCATGGACTTCATAGATGGGCTGCCAAGGTCTAAGGGCAAGACAACTATACTAGTTGTTGTTGATAGACTTACAAAGTATGGGCACTTCCTCAGCATTAGCCATCCTTACACAACCACTTCTGTCGCTCAACTGTACTTGGATCAAGTTTATAAACTCCATGGAATGCCTGAAAACATCATCAGTGACAGGGACCCTATATTCATGAGCAAAGTCTGGCAGGAACTATTTGCAATACAAGGGGTTACATTGAGCACATCTACTGCTTATCATCCTCAAACAGATGGCCAAACAGAAGTACTCAATAGAACCCTTGAGACATATTTGAGGTGTTTTTGTGCTGATAGTCAGAAGGATTGGGTCAGCTATTTGTCCCTGGCAGAATGGTGGTATAACACCACCTTCCACTCAGCAATCCAAACAACTCATTTTGAGGCTCTTTATGGACAACCACCACCTCTCCATATTCCTTACGTTCCTGGGGACTCTGCAGAGGAGGAGGTGGATAGAAGTTTGATAACTAGAGAGTTTAAGGTCGAGTTGCTCAAATTCCACATAGCTAGAGCTCAACAAAGAATGGTTTCCATGGCAAATCAACACAGAACAGATAGGCAGTTTGAAAAGGGAGATTGGGTGTACCTAAAGATCCAACCTTATAGACAACTCAATATCTCTAACCAGACCTTTTTGAAGCTGTCAGCTAAATACTATGGCCCTTACCAGATACTACAAAAGATTGGTCCAGTTGCCTACAAGTTGTCTCTACCACCTCAAGTAGCCGTCCATCATACATTCCATGTATCTCAATTGAAGCCTTGCCTTGCTTTGCCAACAAATTTTAATCATCCTCCAACAGTTGATGTGTCATCTCCTACCTGTGTGCAGCCTCAGGAAATATTGGAAAGAAGGATGATAAAAAGGAGGAACAAGGCTATTCCTCAAATTCTTATTCACTGGGAACAAATGTCAAGAGATGATGCAACCTGGGAAGACTACTCTACTATGAAGCTGAGATTCCCTCAATTCCTTTCTTGAGGACAAGAAGGTTTTTAAGGAATGGGGAATGATGCAAGAATGAAGTCGGAAGCTGGGTAAGCTAGTACTGAGTGCTTGAGGGGTTGCACCTAGCCGTTAAGTTGGTTAGGATTTCAATTGAGAAGAATAGTTCATATTGTCAGTTTAGTCCAATAGGTTTTAAAAGTCATTTTATGTTATTGTCAAAATTGCCCTTAATGTTTGAGTGATTGGACACTTTAGGTCCAATGCTGGGCAATTACTTTTCATACTATCACCAAGGAGTGTCTTGGCTATTTAAGCATTGTAATAGTTCTTTTTGCAGCTATGAAAAGAATTGTTTAGCTAAATAGAGAATAGCTTGTCCTTTACTCTTTTTCCTTTTCTCTTTCTTTCCTTTTCTTAGTTCTTACTGTTATTTACTGTTTCATTACTCTTCTTTATCTTAGTTGCATCATTACTCTCCTCGCTCTATCTAGTTCACCATGCAAACAATAGCCGTCCATTATCGCAGTGTATATAATTATATTAGGTTCTACACCTTTTCTGACCATTTGTCTCATTACTTCCTCAGCGTCTTCTACTTTCCCTTCTTTGCATAATCCATCTGTTAGTATAGTGAAGGTGCGCACATCTGTATAAATATTAAGGTTCATCATTTCAGAGAACAAAATCCTAACCTTTTCCCATTGACCAAACTTACACAAACCATCAATCAATGAATTATACGTGACTATGTCTGGAGGAATGCCTTTCTGCTTCATTTCGTTCAGAAGACTTATAGCACCATCTAAGTTTCTATCTTTGCAAAGTGCATCAACAACAATGGTGTAGATGAATATGTCAGGCTTAGTGTTCCCTTGTTCCATTAACCGGAGCAAACTTAAAGTCTTCTCCGTATGATCCCTTTTACTAAGCCCATTCATGACGGTTGCATATATGACTTCATCAGGTTCACAAATCCCCTAATTAAGGCAGTAAATGTGACAACATCAAATGAAATACCATTCTTCAAGTAAATGGGTAACACCGAAAACCCACAATCAGCACGATGCATCAGCGAATAACTGTTAATCACACTATTCAAGATGACTCCATTAATTGGGATACCCAATTTCTGCATTTCTCGAAAAAGAGAAACGACGGCAGAATAATGTTTCATATTTATCATAGTCTTAAATAATTTAGAAAAATTGACAAGAGAAGGAAGAGGCTTCATTGTAACCATTTGCTTAAAGAGAATCAGAGCATCATCTAAACACTCAAAATTGCTATTTGCCCTAAATTTACTCAGTACCGAAATGGATTTATTACTATAAACTCTGACTGTTATTGGGGAAAAAAACAAGAATATGAAGTAGAAACGAAAGATGTGAAAAGAATACCATTGCCATTTCGGAGAGAAATTCTCTTCATCTTTGATGGAGGAGTGAAGTTTCTTCTTTACTGTGAAAATGATCTTTCTCTTTTGGTGTGTCATGCCTGTTATGATTGACTTATTTTAGGTGCTTTTAAGCAGTTTTAAAATATTTGTATAAAGTTTAAAAATACTTATAAACGATTATTTTAAAGTTAAATTAACAAAAATAAGTCAAAAACTATAGTTTTTTTTTGTGATATTCTACCTTTCTAACGGTAAAGGCACACAAGATTAGTAGGGATAGGTTCACATATTCGGTTCGATTTTATCAAATTTTGATTTTATTTTTTGATATTCAATTTTGGAAAACTGTGCATTAGATATCAAATTGAACGAGTTTGATTTGGTTTGGTTTAGATTGATTTTATATAATTTTGATTTGATTTGGTTTGGTTTAGATTGATTTTATATAATTTTGATTTGATTTGCTATTTTTAAAATGTTTGTTTTATGAAATGAGAAATAAAGTAAGCACCGAGTATAAGATCATTTCTTGTATTTTTAGACCCAATTATTTATATTTTCAAATGAAAAAAATAAACGTTTTCCATGGATACATTAATTTTCGGAAAACTTACATAAATATATTATATTAAAAAAAATATTTACCATTTATAGCAGTAACCTTTTTTTTTTCACTTGATCACTTTTAATACATTTATAATACAATTTGAATACATATTACAAAGAACAATTCATTATTCACGTATAATCCAAGTTTTATTGATGGATAATACATTTATCACACATTTTAATACACTTATAATGCAATGGTTAATTTCTTACCAAACAAGCATAATATATTTTTAAAAAATAATTATAATACATATATATTGCATACATAATTCACTTTTAATACATACTGCAGATTTAATAAGTATTGTTATTAATTGTTATAAATGGTAATAAATAAAAAGTATCGCTAAAATCAGTAATTATTTATAAAAAGATACTCATCTAAGTAATTTTTCCTTAATTTCTAGCCTACCAACCAATAAACCTGTTAATTGGGCCGGCTTGTCCGGTTTCAGCCTATTAAGGCCGGCCCGGTAACGGCCCAAGTCCGGACTGACAGCCGACCACTTTTAATAGTGGGTGGGCCGGTCGGGATATTTTTAATGCTCAGGTCCGGTGTTATTGCAGATATATAGTTGAGAGAAAATATAAAAAAAAGTATAGCTTCAATCACTAGTCGTCTTCGCTTAAGATATATAGTTGAGCGATATAACTTCAACCTTCTTAGCATGACGTAAAAGATCGAAAGAACCTTTAAATTAAAAAAACTCTAACATAATAATATCCATCATTTTTACAACTTTATTTATTTATTTTTAATTAAAATATACTTTTATTAATATTTATACGATATTAAAAATTTGGTACTCATTAATAATTAATATGGAATGCACACACAATGCAAATATATAGAGATAAATACTTAGTGAAAGAGATTTTTTTTTTTTTAAAATTAGAAATTAATTAAAGCAAAAAATAGTCAATTAGATATTTGGATTAACAAATAATAATAGCTAATAAAGAAGAACGGGGAGGGGGGGGGGGGGATTGAAGCCTTGCGCACATTAATGAAACTCGACACCAGCATGGTAAACTAAGCCTTTTACCAGTCACACCATTAAGGATTTTGTTCACAAGCTTAATACATGACCAATTTGTCATACATATACATACAAAGTTTTAACCGAAGTCACTGACACCTCCACCCATGCATATAGATCCTCCCCTGCCTAGTTTCATAGTGAAATAAATTCATAGTTTTTCTTTTGCTAACAAGTGGCTTCCAAAAACCAATTGCAGATTTGATCTGTAATTCATTGTTTCAGAATATCTCATCGTTGCATTATTACATCTCTGATTCACATTCCTTGTCACTAAAAGTGTTTACCAATTTGGGGAAGAATATCCCAAGTTGGTTCCACCATTGGAGAACTAGTACAAGTGTATCAGTCAATTTGTCTGAAAATTGGTATTGTATCAAATAACTTCGTGAGATTTGTTGTATGTTAATCTAACAAATTAATTGACACCATAGCTCACTTGATTCCCTTATGTGATGATGGAGTGTCGTCGACGACCCAAAAACTTGCCTTATCCAACCATTCAGAATAATCTCCACACTATGCTATTCATTTTTTCTTGGTACCTTTTGCTGGCGTATGGGATACATCAAGCCCAAATAGAAAAACACCAAATGACTATGGTCTTATTTGCTCAAGTACTCTTTCTGGAGAAATGAAGGATTTTGGATTTTGGATTTTGTTTGATATACTCCATCTGTCCCTAATTACTTGCCCACTTTTGAATTGACACACCTATTAAGAAAACAATTAATGACATAGTGAGTTTACCATTTTACCCCTATTAATTATGAAGTGGATGAAAAGTTCTACATTTTAAAAAGTAATTAGTCATTTAATTGAGGGTATAATAGGTAAAAAAAAATTGAACTTTCTTAATTTGTTAAAATGGACAAGTAATTAGGGACAACCAGAAAAGGAAAAGTGGACAAGTAATTAGGGACAACTATAAAAGAAAAGGATTGTTAGTATTTTTTTCAGTTTAGGAATAAATCATTTTTTACTTTTATTAGTTTAAAAGAGAAAAAACTTTTTATTTCCTTAAAAGAAGAAAGAGGAAAATACTGGATTTCTTTGTTTCCTTAACAAATGAAAGAAACAAATATTGTTGTTATTGGTTATTAATAGATATTGATGGTGTTTAAATACCCTTGGTGTTTAATGACTGTCTAAATACACTAAACGGTATTTAGTGATTGTTGATAACTATTAATCATGATTGTTGGATACCTTAATGATGTCAAAATACACTTAATGATATTTAGTGGTTGTTGATAACTATTGATCATGGTTGTTGGATACCTTAACGGTGTCAAAATACACTTAATGGTATGTAGTGGTTGTTGATAACTATTAATCATGGCTGTTGGATACCTTAACGGTGTCAAAATACATTTAATGATATTTAATGGTTGTTGATAACTATTGATCATGGTTGTTGGACACCTTAACGGTGTCAAAATACACTTAATGATATTTAATGGATGTTGATGACTATTGATTATGGTTGTTGGATACACTTAACGGTGCCTAAATACACTTAAAGGTATTTAATGACTATTAATTATGACAAGAAACATTTCATCTTTCAAACTTTTCCCTTTTGCTGAAAAGTATAAATAGGAGTGGTGGTTCTCAAGAAAAAATCATCTTTTCTTTTTTTGAAAATTTTCTTCCCCACACAAGACTTGATTGAGAGAGTTAGCCAAGAATTAGTAGAAGGCTGCAATCCTGGAGTCCAGTTACTGAACGAGTTGTGTGAAAGCTTCAAAGATTAGAGTTTCACAAGTTATTCAGTTTACATTATTATGCTATTATGTTTGTTCGTGATCTTGAATAATGCTTCCGCTGTGCATATTCTAAGATAAATATGATGCCGCAACCAATTAATGTCAAATACTCTAATAACATTAGAAATAAAGTCATGGTGTAGGAGCAGCAACTATGACAACATCGACTGCCTATGAAAAGGGGCGGCTCAAACCCGTTGGTGGCCTAAGGCCAAAATCAAACTAGAGGCATTAAAAAAAAAATTAAAAATTTAAAATGTTTTTATTTTAAATCTATTTTTCTAGCTTTTTGAGATGCAAAGTAGTTAATAATTTTTGTGTAGTCAATCTCTTCTAATAATTCTTTTTCAATCAATAATATAGCCAAACCACTTCTAAAATTTATCAAGAGCACCTTTTTGAGATTTTATCAAGTTATCGACTTTTCTTTTTCTTTTAAGTTTTGAATGACCAGATTCATATTTTCTAGTTGACATATTAAAATCTAACAAATATTTGAAACACTATTACAATATCAAATAAAACATATAATAAACATAAGACACACAAAACAAAAATAATATTAGAAATTAAAATGATATTACCAGATTCAAGAACTATGAAGACTTGATTTTCGAAAATGAATTGGGCTGCTGCAATATATATTTTTCTCCAAATTTAAAATATAAACTATCAATATAATAAGTAAATTCTTAAGCTTTGAATAAGAGAGAGATATAAGATTAGAAAAGAGAAAGAGAAAAGAAATAGAAGAGAAGAAGAGAGGAGGATAGAATATATAAAAATAAAATTAGAAAAAGAATAAGGTAAAAAAATAAATATAACTTGTACATTAAAACAAAAGTAGACATCTTTTTATTGGAAAGGGAAAAAGTAATTGTCATATTTATCACTTCTAATGACGTTTGTATTTGTTGTCTTAGTTTTAATTTTTTTTTTTTTTAGTTTAATCCTACCTAATTAACTAAAAAATGGGGCCCTAAGGCCAAGAACTTTTTTTTATACCTTACCAGCCGCCCCTGCCTATGAAAAGCACATGTTTTCTCTGTCTGAGAAAGAGATTCGCGAAAGAACTTGGGTACGCAAGAATCTCAGCCTGAATGGGAAGACTTTATGGATGCTGAAGATTATGAACACAAGTTCAATGTAACTGATATACTTGTACGTTGCTTCAGTTGCGAGCATGTTCAATTCAGAGTAGAATTAATGTTTGGTGCTTCAGTTACAAGCTTGATATAAAAAATTCAGTTTGTAACATTAATTATTGAGCTTTATTATATATCCTGGAGGTGATTAATTAAACTATACTAAGAAAAGCTAATAAACATCAAATTGTCCTTTCTGTTGAAGCTCGTTGATAAAGTCATTATTGTCAAAAATAAAATAAAAATAGTATTGCTTTAAACTACAAAGCTTTGCCTAACATGATTTTGAAATGCCAAGTCAATTGCAAAACATAAGATATTTTCTCATGTCTTTTTTAGTCTCAAAACTTGTGGCCAGAGCAAAATTTGTAACAATGCACTAATTTAAGAAAGTCAGAGGTCTTATATCATTTAGTGATTTTAGCATGCAACAAGAAAAGACATGATCCATACAAGCTTATTATGGCTAATTTCTAAGTCAAAATACTATGAAATTTATTCAATTTGAATATTGCTTTCAACTGGACTAGAACAATATTGATCAGTATAATATATTTTACATATTTGAATCAAAATCTAGATGCCCAAAAAACTGAAGTTTGAATTTTATTTTGTGGTTATCAAATTTTGAGTAGTTTCCTTCTTTTATATACTCGAGTGACTTTTTACTTACAAAGTTTTGCTCTTTTATTCTCGTGTTATCATTTCTCCATTCCAGTACTAAGTGTCATGTTGCCAGGAGTATTCAAGAATGTGTATCTCAAATATGGTCATTTGATTACTGTTCATTTAGAACAAGTGTTTGATTAGAATACGGAAAAAATTTATGAACAAAATTTGGAAAGGTAAGTGAAAGATTTGTAGAATTTTCCGTGCCCTTCTCATTGCTATTCACAGTAAATATATACAAGAGATTAGCACTATCCTAGGCTACAAACTAGGAAACTAATTACACCAAAAACGTATAACAGAAGCTATAAACTAGGAAGATAATTCTTAGAGAAATTATCTCCTTTGACTAAAAACAAGCTATAAACTATATATTTAACACACCCCCACAGTCGTAGTGGGAGGGCGACGGACGCTAAGACTGTCCCGAAATTCCTCAAATAAAACCCGCGGAAGACCTTTAGTGAAGATATCCGCGATCTGATATCGTGAAGGCACATGTAGTACTCGAACTTCCCCACGTGCAACCTTCTCTCGAACAAAATGAATATCCATTTCTATGTGTTTTGTTCGTTGATGTTGAACTGGATTTCCTGACAAATAAATAGCACTAACATTGTCACAATAAACAAGAGTAGCCTTTTTAATCGGACAATGTAACTCCAAGAGAAGATTCCGAATCCAGCATGACTCGGAGACAACATTCGCCACCCCACGATATTCGGCCTCCGCACTAGACTTGGACAATGTGGGTTGGCGTTTAGATGACCAAGATATCAGATTATCACCCAAGAAAACACAATAACCAGACGTTGAACGTCTTGTATCAGGGCACCCACCCCAATCTGCATCAGTATATGCAACCAGAGAAGAAATAGAGGATGGATATAAATGTAGTCCAAAATCAAGAGTACCCTGTACATACCGAATAATCCGTTTGAGAGCAGACATATGATCAACCCTCGGGTCATGCATATGAAGACAAACTTGCTGAACGGCATAAGAGATATCCGGCCTGGTGAAGGTAAGATATTGTAGAGCCCCCGCAAGGCTCCTATACAGAGTCGGATCATCAAAATGAGCACTAGTAATAGCGCCAACCTTCGGCTTCGTGTCAACCGGAGTCTGAGACGGTTTACACGATGACATCCCTGCACGGTCAATTATTTCCTCGGCATATTTACGCTGTGAGAGAAACAAACCACCCTTATGTCTAGTCACAGCAATACCCAAAATATAATTCAGAGGACCAAGGTCCTTCATAGCAAACTCGGAGTTAAGACGAGCCATGATAGAACATCGGAGAGCATCAGAAGAAGCTGTCAAAATAATATCATCAACATACAATAAAAGATAAGCCATGTCGGACCCATGACGATAGATAAATAAAGAATTATCCATCCTGCTGTTAGTAAATCCAAGAGACAACATATAATCAGCAAATCGCTTGTACCAAGCCAGGGGCGCCTGCTTAAGTCCATAAAGAGACTTACGCAAGAGACAAACATAATCCGGATAAGTCCGATCTCTGTATCCAACAGGTTGATGCATATAAACAATTTCTTGCAGCTGACCATGTAAGAAAGCATTTTTAACATCCAACTGATGAATAGACCATGCCTTTGACAAGGAAAGACTAAGAACAGTACGGATTGTAGCCGGTTTGACAACCGGACTAAATGTCTCGCCACAATCGATGCCAACCTGTTGAGTTTTACCATCACCAACAAGACGGGCTTTATGCCTCTCAAAATCACCGTTAGCCTTGACTTTATGAGTAAAAATCCACATAGAACGAATAACATTCACATTAGGTGGACGGGGCACCAACTCCCACGTCTTATTTTTAATAAGAGCATCAAATTCATCATCCATGGCCATTTTCCAATTTGGATCACGAAGTGCATCAATGGGATTTCGAGGTAAAGGAGACCGGTCAACCGTAGTATGCAAGTTTGCATATTTCGGATTGGGTTTAAAAATCCCATGTTGACTACGTGTGACAACTCTAGGCTGGGAAGAAGGAATGGGCGGAGAATTTGTGGGGAATGGGGCCTGCTGTGTTTAGGCTGAAGGGGAGGAAGAGACTGGGCTTTGGGTAGGAAGAGGCCCAGAGAGAGAAGGAGATGGAGATGAAGGAGACACGGGCTGGTCTGCCACGCCTGGCCCAGCCACCGAGGCACCTCCCGTACCGGCGTCCGCTGGTAACCCGGCGGGGCTGGCAGTTGGTGGTGCAAGACCACGCTGCCGGACGCAAGTTTGGGTGGCAGGTGGTGGTTGGTTATGGCGTGGAGAAGGAGAAGAGGTGGGGCTTTGCTGCTGGGCCGTGTGTGGAATGGGCCCATTAGGAGAAATGGGTTGGTCAGAAGTAGGAGTAGTAGATTGCTGCATATGGTGGATAACATATGATGATAATCCATCATCAAGAAAGTCATATGTATGAGAAGTAGGAGTATGCACACTAGCAAAAGGAAAAGTATGTTCATTAAACAAAACGTGACGACAAATAATGATTTTCCTAGAAGACATATCATAACATTTGTAACCACGATGGTTAGTGGGGTACCCAAGAAACACACACGGAGTTGACCTTGGTTGCAATTTATTAATAGTGGTGGAGGGAATAAGAGGGAAACACAAGCACCCAAAAACCCGGAGATGATCATAAGAGGGAAATCTTTGATAAAGAACTTCAATAGGAGACTTATTATGCAACAATTTACTAGGAAGAACATTAAGAAGATATGTTGCCATTTGAAGAGCATGATGCCAAAAAGATGGAGGAAGAGAAGCATGAGCTAAGAGAGTACGAGTGACATTGTTAATAGACCGAATTTTGTGTTCGGCTTTCCCATTTTGAGAAGAAGTATGAGGACAAGACAAACGGAATGACATGCCATGTTTTGTACAAAAATCCCAAAAAGAATTGTTATCAAATTCCCGACCATTATCACATTGCACATTTTTTATATTACGTTCAAATTGAGTCGAAATATGGGCTTTAAAGGCTAAGAAAATGTCATAAACATCAGATTTTCTACCCAATGGAAAAGTCCATAAATACTTTGAAAAATCATCAAGAAACAAAACATAATATCGATGTCCCGCAGAACTCAAAACAGGAGATGTCCAAAGATCACTATGTAATATATCAAATGGCATAGTAGTGCTAGAAGAGGAAGAAATAAATGGCAACTTAGTTTGTTTCCCAAAAACACAAGAGCTACAAATACTTGAACTAGAGTGTTTTTTACAATCAATGCCTTTATTTTTCCTAAGCAAATCTAAAATAGGTGCCCCCGGATGACCCAAGCGGTCATGCCATATTTGAGGTGAAATAGCAGCAAACGAGAAAGGTTGATTGTTGTAAGAAGGTGAAAATGGATAAAGATCACCATGACTATCACATCTCATGATTGGCCTCCCCGTCCGAAATTCCTTCACAGAAAACCCAAAAGGATCAAACTCAACTGACACGGAATTATCTTTAGTAAATTTTCTAACAGAAATTAGATTCTTAATCAGTTTAGGAGCATGAAGGACATTTTTAAGAGACAAAGATTGACACGGGGAGGGCAATTTAGTGTGACCATAGCCAAGAATCGGAATTGAATGACCATTACCAACAACAATATTATTATTTGGATGATTGCTCAAATTAAAATAAGACGAGAGTTTACCAGTAGAAGACGTCATATGAGAGGTAGCACCGGTATCCATGTACCACGATGGGTCGGGCATTTGAAGCGACATCGTGTGCATAGCTGCCTCGATATCCGTAGGTGTGTAAGAACCGAACTGCCCCTGCTGTGGATTGGACGCCCCTGCTTGCTGGAAATAGGCCTGCTGAGGTCTGGGCCCAAGTAAACCGGCCTGACGAGGCTGCTGTGGAGCAGGAGGCCTGGCCCATCCTTGCGTTGGGTAGGGGCAAGGAGGGATGGGCCAGCCGTGATTGTACCAGCCCCATGGAGCTGATCCCGCAGGCTGCTGTTGCTGCCACTGTGACTGGTGCTGCGGTCCACCGTGGCCGCCGGACTGCTGGTCCCGGCCACCACCCTTGTTGCCGGCGGAGTTCTTGCCACCACCTGTACCCGAATTTTTCCGGCCACCGTTGTTGTTGCGCCGGCCAGAATTATTCTTGCCTTTGTTGTGACCCTGTTTATCTCCATGGTTTGGACCACTATCACTCGAGGCCACCATAGCAGACTCAGTGGCTGCTTCTTTTGCTAACCCAGCTTCTTCTAAAGTGAGCATGGATCGAGCCTTGTAAAAGGAGGCAGAGGATTACTTTGGCGAATCAACGTACCCACACCTCGGTACGGCCGAGTAAGACCTCCAACCAATTGTAAAACCATTCTACTATCGGACACTGGAGCCCCAACATTCTTCAATTGATCCGCAAGGGATTTGAGACGTTGACAATAAGATGAAACATTTGGGAAATCCTCCATAGAAGTGGTGGAGAATTCTTGTTCCAAAGCCACGGCACGAGAATGTTCATTATCTTGGAATATGTCACGCAACCTATCCCAAGCTTCCATAGCCGTAGAGTCGGGCTCAATAATGGTGTTCAACAAATCACGAGAAATAGTAGAATAAATCCACGAAAGAACCGTGGCATCCAAGGTTGCCCACAATTCCGTTTCCGCATCCGTAGATGGAGGAGGTTGCTCCTTGCCCTTGGCCGAAGGAATGATATGGTGAAGAACCTTGTTTGATTTTGCGTGAACCTTGAATAATTCCGCCCACGTAGAATATTGAACATTTTCCATCTCAAGAGTGATGGGAATATTGTTCTTGATATTAGAAACAGCAAGAGCCGGATGGAAGGACGATTTAGACTCCCCCATAGAAACTGCCGGTGAGAAGAGAAAAGAAAAAATAGAGGAAGAAGAAGAAGATGTGGGCGGAAAAGCAGAGCGTAGGGTGCAGCGGAATTAGAGAGAATACCCTAGGCTAACTGATACCATGAAAGATTTGTAGAATTTTCCGTGCCCTTCTCATTGCTTTTCACAGTAAATATATACAAGAGATTAGCACTATCCTAGGCTACAAACTAGGAAACTAATTACACCAAAAACGTATAACAGAAGCTATAAACTAGGAAGATAATTCTTAGAGAAATTATCTCCTTTGACTAAAAACAAGCTATAAACTATATATTTAACAGTAAGTAACACAATTATGTTCTTTCTACAAAAGAATTATTATGTTCACTATATATAGCCTACGCTTCTCATTGGATCTTGTAAATTAGTTACTTAATATTGTTCTATGATTGAATTGATTTATAAATTTCTATGAGCTCACTCCTATTTACAAAAATCAAAGAAACTCTTCCAACATAACTTTCAATAGGTTTACGCAAACTGAAGAGCTCATTGTTGACACTTTCTATTACAAAACACATTTCTTTCCTTTTATAGTACCCTTAATCACAAGGTTTACAACACTTTGTAAATGTCACAAGTTCTTATACTCCACCTTTAATTTGTTGATAGGTAGCGCTAGGTCTAAAAGTGGACAGAGAGCTCCCGTTCTAATAAGACATGAAGCAATGTGGACACAAAGGAAACCAAAGAGCAATACAAAAGTTTGAACACATGTAAAGTCAAAGCTGCATCACTCCTTACAATTACTAGATGAAAAAAATACTTGGGCTACTAATGATACGTATATACTATATGTATTTAATTTCATTGTGGTTTGATTTTATAATAATGGAGTCCGGATAGCTCCGAATTTGATAAAATTCTTAATAGAAATCACAGGTTTCTTGGTAGTGCAGTAACTAAAGCAATATATTGAAAGGGTCATAATATGATATTTGCAGGTTCTGTCGATTTTTAAAAAATTGTATCTCATGTATTGAAATTAAAATTATTTTTCATGTATTGCGATTATTATGCGATAGACGTGTTGTGAGAGTTCTTTAACGATGTGAATTTTTGTATGCTTTACATGATATATCTATTTGAGTAGCCTTTATGTATAACTTTTTTTCTTGTCAATTACTACTACCCACCTTCATTTTGTCCCTTTATGATAAAAAGTTATACATTAAATAAAATTTAAGATTTCAGAATACATTAGAAAAAAAATTGTTGGGCCTCGTTTCCCATGCGATGCATGGGCCTCCCTTCTAGTATATTAGTAAATGTGACATGACACATTTCTTACAGTAGAATACCACGTTTCATTATAAAATAAAAGCACATCTTAACATTTGCTAATGAGTAGCCTGTCCAAAATTCAATTGCAGATGAGCATTGGAACTATTAGTACGTCGCTTCACATCACAAAGCTAACGGAGCAAAGGGAACTATTTCTTCCAGTGGAGTCGGAGTTGGAGTTGGAGTTGGAATTGGAGTTGTGTGATAATAGAGAATTAAAATTAGAGTTGTCAAAAGAGAGGAACATGTATATCTTCTGCTATAAAAAATATTGAATTATGATATTGTATTTTCTCCTCTTTTTTTAATTATTCATCTTTCTGGCAAAGCTAAAAGGTTACGTTCATTTATCATATCATTCAGAAGGTCAAAGAGGTTTGGGAAAAGGTCTGATATACCCCTTAACTTAGTCATTTAAAACTGATATACTCCTCGTCACACAAACAATTTAATTTTCTAATGTAAATTTGCTAATTATTGGAATATCAGGTCATAATATTATTTTTGAGTTATCCAACATGATAGCTAAGTTTAATATAACATGAAATCATACTAGTTTGTCATGAATTTTGTGCCAGCATTCTGAAACCAATTCGGCTTAAGGAGATCATAAAAGTGGGTTATTTACCCAATTTCATATTTTACCCAACCCAATTTTATCGGCATTTCATGGACTTTATGACAAACATTGTAAGGTAATAATATTATAACAATTTAATTTCTTTGTAACTTCATTGCATTGAAGATAAATAAAAAGTCAAAAGCAATATAAAATGTAACGTAACAGAAGTAAGTAGGAAATATCTTGGAAACTCCAATGTAATATGCACACAATGGACCACTAAAAGTACAAGCAAATAAAGGTGCAAAAGTAAAAAAGAAGGCTAATTTCTTTGTCAACGCCACTTGGCTTCATCCATTCATTGAGATGGAAGATTGCCATGGTAAGAAAAATTACCTAATTACACAACTGTAACGTTTGAATTAACGAATAGAATTACAAGGTAAACCCAATTTCTTCTTTTGTTAGATTCCTCTTTTCCAGACATCCATAAATTAGTTAGGGCCAACTGATTAACTGTCCATCGTTTATTTATCACAGTGGAGTTTTGGGGTCTTTGAAGGAATTTCCTACTTCCTTCTATTAAATTTGGATGAAAATACTAAACAAACTGATTCTTTTATTTCCACTCTTTTTTTACTCTCTTGTTGACTTGAACTCATAACCTTATGATTTGAAGCAAGGGCGGAGCTAGGTAGGGGCAAGGAGGTTCATTTGAAGCACTTTTAGCAAAAAAAATATTGTATATTTTTTTATGCATATACCATAGATGTTGAATCCTCTTGATTTCTTTGTGTATTTACTTCTCTATGTAATTGAAGCCCCTTAATAAAAATCATGATTCCGCCCGTAATTGAAAGTGAAGAATGCTTACCATCCCAACAACTTGATTTTTTCTTTAATAATAAATAGTTGTTGAATTAATATATTTTACAATTTATACTTTACCAAAACATAATAAAAAAAAATTCAAGTAGGACCACAGAGTTTTTGAAGTCAAGTTGTGTGCTTAAAGAACATGGCCATGTGATTTACTTTTTCTTCTTTTTTTCCCCCAATAATTCTAATGACAGGTGGATTCTTTCTATTTCTTTCATATTGTTATCACCACACAATTTGTGTTTACTTTTTTCAGATCAACATCCATGGCATCTTCTTCTTCTTGCGCAAGTGATCCAAAATACTATCCTCGATGGAAGTACGATGTATTTCTAAGTTTTAGAGGTGTTGACACATGGAGAACATTTACGGGTCACTTGTATGAAGGTTTGAAAAACAGGGGAATATTCACCTTTCAAGATGATAAAAGGCTAGAGAATGGCGATTCCATCTCAAAAGAACTCTTGAAAGCTATAGAAGAGTCTCAAGTTGCCATAATCGTTCTCTCAAAGAATTGTGCTACATCACTAAAAAAAAGAAAGAGCTTCGCTCGGTTGGCCTTCCTACGCTGACAAATGCCTCTTTTCTCTTCTCTGAAGTCTACAACAAACAAGTGGGGAGGCAGGATTCGAACCTACGTAGAAAAACTTCAACAGATTTACAGTCTGCCGCTTTTGACCACTCGGCCACTCTCCCCTTCTCGGGTGTTTGAATGAACTAATGAAGATTATGGAATGCAAGGATGAAGAAAATGGACAAATGGTCATTCCGGTCTTCTATGACGTGGATCCATCACATGTTTGATACCAAAGTGAGAGCTTTGAAGAAGCATTGCCAAACACGAATCGAGGTATAGGGATGATGTTGAAATGATGCAGAAGGTGCAAGGATGGAGAACTGCCCTAACTGTTGTCTGAAATCTAAAAGGATATGATATCCGTGATAGGTGAGTTGAAAACACATGGATTGAATCATAAATTTATTTATCATGAAGACTAGCTACACATACTAGCTAATTCTCTACTATATAGAGCAAATCTGTATCTAAAAATGTGCAAGAATTTATGATTCTACTATAGAACAAATCCTACTTGTGCACACCCAAAATTGGAGGGCACAGATGCTAGCTGAAGTTAAGTTAAAGGGTATATTAATGTATTATGCCTTATTTCAATCGAGTAAATAACTTTTATGGTCATCCAAGTATACTAAATTACTTGCTAAAGTCACTTATGTTGATTTTATATTTTATATCAATTTAGTTACTCAATGACATTGTTACACAAATAATTTATTGAGGAGTTTGATTTATGCGTACGTTCTGTTCCTTTTATCATGATTATGCACTTACAATGTGAAGTACTTCTTGTTCTTACTTTTTGTAGGATTGAATCAGAATGTATTCGGGAACTTGTTGACGATGTTTCTTCAAAATTATGCAGGACTTCTTCATCTTATTTGCACGATATTGTGGGAATAGATACTCATTTGGAGAAAGTAACATCCCTTCTAGAGATGGAAACTAATGATGTTCAGATGGTGGGGATCTGGGGAATGGGGGGAGTCGGTAAAACGACTATAGCAAAAGCTATTTTTGATAGACTCTCACCTCAATTTCAGGGTGCAAGTTTCCTTGCAGAATGTAAAAGAACTAACACAAATGAAATCCATTCTCTGCAAAATACCCTTCTCTCTGAGCTGTTAAGGAAAGACAAAAAATATGTGAATAATATGAAGGACGGCAAGGTTATGATAGCTCATAGACTTCGTTTTATGAAGGTTTTAGTTGTGCTTGATGACATTAATCATCATGATCATTGGGAGTATTTAGCAGGGGATCTTTGTTGGTTTGGCAATGGCAGTAGAATTATTGCAACAACTAGAAACAAACAAATTATAGGGAAGAATAATGTAGTGTATGAAGTGACTACACTTGAACGTGATGCTATTCAGTTGTTCAGTCAATATGCTTTCAAGGACAAAGCTCCAGATAAGCATATTAAGAAGCTGGCATTGGAGGTAGTAACTCATGCTAAAGGCCTTCCGTTAGCGTTGAGATTGTGGGGTATTTTGTTACATAATGAAGATGCAACTATGTGGAGAGATGTTGTAGATATGATAAAGAGAGAATCTAGTCCAGACATTGTTAAAAACCTCAAAATAAGTTTTGAAGGGTTGCCGGATAAAGAGAAAACCATATTTCTAGATATCACATGCTTCAATTTAGAGGAAGGGG